AGCCACTTCGTGCCCCAAATTGCAGAGCTGCGCGATGAAACAATGATCCTGCTTCGACATTCTCGAAGCTGCCATTCGTCACACAGCCTAGCCCAGCCGTTGACAAGCGCAGCAGTTGGATCCCCGCGATTCCGAAGGAAAAAAGTTTGCTGATGGTGCGAGAGTTTCAGATTTGTTTTTTTATGTGCATTTAAACGAACGTAGATGACGAACAATTAAGGAGGTGAACAGCACACCCGCTTCGGAGTCGGTTGATCCAGAAATTTATGAAGAGACTGCCGTGAACAGCCAATTGCAACCACCGCCATGCAGTGGCAGAAGTGAAGACAGTGAGGAATTGGATGTTCAGAACGAGTTAAAGCCAATTGCTCAAGGCAGTCCCGCGGCGGTGGCAAAGCATGCAGCAGGAACTTGCAATCCATGCCTGTATTTTGCCAGCCTCCGAGGATGTCATTGGCAAAATTGCTCTTTTTGTCACTTGAAGCATCGAGTGGTCCGAAAGATGCGGCCTCGCAAACTCAAGCGAGATTTCTACAAAGAGAATCTATCCAACATATGGGAAGAAAAAGTCCGAAACTCAGACCATCTCCACAAACGCGTAGACTTTGCCCAGATGTGAATACTTTCAGCCGTACATTGCTTTGGATGTCAAAGGTAAAGGAAAGAGCTTGTCACCCCAAGAATGTGTCGATGTGTGATTTTGGCTTCGAACATGAACACGGAACCTGTGTCTTTTGATCGTGAGAAACCGTGAGACCCCATACAAACACCTATTGAGACACCGGACTGGACCCCGGCGAGGGACGACCAAACCCTCCATGGTGCTCCGGTGGTCCTTGTGATTTACCGGTGATCCAACGGGCAGGATCCGCAGGTCCGTCACAGGGCCCTCCAAGCTTTGGCCGCCAAAGACGGTTATGTGCGTTCGATGATCATTGGGCAGCTTGATGCGGAGTCTCTTGGATTGCACGGTTAAGATGGCACAGAAGACAGAAGAAGAGAAGACAATAGAGACACCAGTGACACCAGCGAAACGAGAGAAGACAAAAGACACCACGGAACGCGCTCCATCTTGTAGTTGTGCAATGCATCTTAGATGGTTTGCCAATCTGAGAAGCTCAGGAATGCTGCGTGATGTTGTGGATGCAGGAACGGGAGATCCCAAAACCCCTGAACCAGGACTGACCACGTTTGATGCCCAAGCTTTCATTGTTCGTAACTGGCATAGAAGAATTGAATTAGGGGCATTGCTAGTAACAACAAGCTAGTAGGTTGGAGGCCCTCGCTATTAGG